ATCAATTATTAGAAAATGGAAAACATACCAAGACCACTGATAATCTTCCTCGATCTGAAGCTCCACGCAAGATCTCACCCCGTGGGGTCAAAATAATCACAACAACAGTGAGTAAAAATCCCAGAACCACACGGGGGGACCTAGTGAATGACCTGCAGAGAGCTGGGACCAAAGTAACAAAGGCTACCATCAGTAACACACTACGCCGCCAGGGACTCAAATCCTGCAGTGCCAGACGTGTCCCCCTGCTTAAGCCAGTACAGCACTTTAGAGGCAGCTGTTTTGTAATTTAAAGGAGATTGTAGTTTATTTGATTAAAATACAGTTTAATAAATGTCTTTATTCAGCCATTAAAAAGATTTGTTGGAGGAGGCTGAGGGACATGAAAACTTTCTTGTACATCCAAGGGGGCACCCAACAAGAAACGTTTTGGAACCACTGCATTAAATCGTCAGTAAGAGCAGCAGATCAATTATTTCAATTAGTGCTTCCTTAACCTGTGGTGGAGAAAAAGCTGCCAGGTAGACGCCATGAAATCTCTGAAGTGTAACCAAAAAAAAAAGAGCCAAGAGGGATGTCTGACTTGTTCAGATGTAGATATCAGTCAGAGTAGATGTTTTTGCAAAGCCACAATTGTTCAATGAACCAAGCTGTCTTTGTTTATCTTCCTTCTCTCACACAAAAATAACGATTTTCTCAGTTGTAGCCAAAAATATCTAAGCTATTTAATCAGATCTCAGGTTTTTTTTTAAATCGCCTCTAAGCTCACAGACACAAACAGAGCTTAAAAGAAAAACATGTGAGGTTAGTGTCAGCTCTTAGAAAGAAATACTTCTGCAGTCCAAGGTAAGCCAGCGAAACAATCCCAAACAACTGCCTGTCTTTTTCCATATTTCCAGATACAATCTGGAACATTTTGTGAGGCGCCTTAAAGCAAGTAAACAGCAGTGACACCTTCATGACACCATTAAAACCTCCTATCAAGCAGCAGCTAATGATGACAATACCCTCCACCTTCTAGAGGAAGCACCGTTTCAGGAAATGCAGCAGGAAACCATGGAGGAATCAGCCATTTTTAGCATTAACTCGCGTTTTAAACGGAGACCCAAAATGATACTCACAGCTTCCCTTCAGATGTTTGGAGCACAGAGGAGACTGCTAGTGTTACTAGTAGGGAACTCAGTAGGAAGACTCCTCTCGCCCTTAGAGAGCCTGGCGCTGCTGAAATGACTCACATCCCCTCTTCAAACCTCTGTCAACCATCAGGAGGAGGTAAACATTTCCAAATATGGAGAAAGTATGGAGACAGTATTGAGGGCAATATCAGTTTGGTTTGCTTTTAGCTAGGAATGCCAAACTATGTGAGCCAGAGTCGCTCCACGGAGCCAGTTCTGTGGTACATACCTCTCACTTGGGATAATAATGATGATGATTGCAGAGAACTTTTCACAGTTGTTTGGGGTTCAGTCTGACCTAAGATGGATGAAAATGTGAGCCTGTTGCATCAGCTCAGTCTTTAGGATCTGACTTAAGAGATGCAGGAGTTCATGGCCAACACCCTATCCACTGTGACGGGTTACTGAACTGCTCACACCAACCTATAGTTCAGATCCAGCTTTGAAACTGCATTTCTAGGTTTAAAACGTTATAATTCATGATTTTAAATATTTTTTTTTATTAATAAATAGGAAATTGACCTAATAGTTCATTCCACAACTTAGTGGTACGTTAAATATTAATGTTTTAAATTGCTAAATAAATAACTGCAACAACTTATTATTTCCTGGTAGGTTTATGTATTTCATCATATATTTTAGCCCTCCGCATATATATCACACGTCAATGATTGTAAACACCGACCCCCGCTTTGGTCACCTCTGCATTAGTTACTTTATCATTTCTAGATGACAGTGTCATCTGTCTTTAGTTTTGTATAACAGTGATTAGCATGGACAAAATGGTAGCAAAAGCAGCCATGTAAGCAAACAAGATGTGGCCCGCAGCACCATCATTTAAGATGACCCTTAATTACAATTTAAGAATGGCCATATGAAGCGGTTAACTGAATAAACATTTAAAAAATGTATACTACGGAGGCAACTTTTCCTTTAAAGCAACATTGCATATCTTTTGTCCCAAGTATTATCTTAATTCGAGAGATATTAAATGATTTTTCTGGTCAATATAGAGCAATTGGTGAGTATTGATGCTCCCATGCAGGCTGCTCTTCTTAAAGGGGAACACCGTTTGTTTTTTACATTTGGCCCTTGATTTTATGTTATTACATCATGTTCTACTCACCCATATTAGTTTTGTGTCATTTGGAGCTGTTCTGAAGATATTCAGTTTTGTTATATCCAAGTAACGTCTTCCTTTGCTTTCCTCATTTATGGTACATCAGCATTCATAACATGTAGGCAAATCACTGTCCTCCAGACATTCGCGGTTATATTTTTTATATTTATATTTTTTAAATGGAAAAAAAACTGCATTCCCCTTTAAAACGATGTAACTTGTGAGGGTGGGATGCGTCGCTGAATGAGCTTTACAGCAGTCTGAGCTACACTTTAACCACAGAGCTGAGATAAATGTTACTGTTAGCCAACAAAAAAGATCTGACAATGACCTGCTCAGACACATTACTGGTTCTATGATGTAAGATTTAATCCAGAGCGGTTAATGTAGCCTTGAATTTACAAATGACTCCATAACTTCTTAATCTGGTCCGATATGATCTGTTATCAGAAACCAAAACGTTGAGGGAGGCGGTTTAATGTTGCTACAGTGCAATGTCATCAGTGGCCTTTAGGGGCGCCAAACCTGGAAGTAGGACCAGACAATGAATTAATGACTTAAACTTTTGGTTTATGGGAATTGAATTTTTAGAAAATTGGGAATCCCAGAGTGACATCAGATAATTTGTTTTTGTTCTTAGACTTAAGCTTATAATTATTTAAACCAGAAAATTGTGTGATACTACTAGCTGTAAACATTCTCCGTGTTATATTTGTAATGTTTATTGTGAAAGATGGTTATTTTTGAAGAATTTTTCCCAGCTTGAATTTTGTTGCCCTTTACATTAAGTTGGACTCCCAGAGGACATGATTGAGGTCAAAACTAACTTTTTAAATCCGTTCATGTCCTTTAACCTTTTTGCTACGAAACTTAAAGAAGAAAAATACACAAATAAATTGATTCATCGGATTTGGACAGTAAAAAAATAATCTAAGATAAGATATTGACGTAGCATCACCCAGCCCTAAGAGGAAGTTAGAGGTCCATCTTTTGGCCCCAACAATACTTCAACTTGATACGCAAAACTTTAAAGTGGAGGTCTTCAACAGGGGGTCTGCCACCCCTATGGGCCCAAGGAGGTACTGCATGGGGGTCGCAAAAGATTTGGTTGATTAGACATGTTTTTTATATTTCCCCCTGCATTTTTTCCACTAATTGAAATGTTTTTAAATCCACATTAACATGAATTTAACAGGCTGTAGTAAACAGATAAATGGAGGCAGAAGATGTCCTTCAGTCATCAATGCACACATTCAGCGACACACAGGAGCTCTTTCAAGCTGGGCACCGTTTTATTCACAACACCTGTCCCATCAACCAGGAATCAGAATCAGAAATACTTTAATAATCCCAGGGAGAAATTACTTTCATTACATTCCTCCATCTGTAATAGAGTGACTATAGGACCAGTTTGATAGAACACAATTTCATACAATTTACATAATTAGGGGGTCCCTGCTCCATATCCCTATCAGTTTGGGGGTCCTTAGCCTGGAAAACTTTGAAGAACATTGATCTAGAGACCACAGCCCTAGACAATGTGGATTCTCAACTACATTTCCATCACAAGCATGTTCAATAACAGACAGGTCTAGAGTTTAAAAGGACAAAACTATGCTGGACTTTGCTTAGTCTTCAAGAGCATTGATGGAGAAAGAATTTGGTTTGGCAAATATTTTGCTTATGGATTAATCTTATCCTATTTTTTTGATTAATGGATAAATAATCACATAGCAAAATGGACCTGGAGAGAATGTTTAATTTAAAATTTAAACCAGGCAAAGCTAAAAATATGCAACTTGAAAGGTTCTGGGTAGAGGCTATTATGCTGAGGGAAAAAAAAGGTATTTCATCTTAAATGCAAAAAGTTTGTATATTTTTAACAGTTTAGTTGTAATTACTGCTCTGAGAGGGAGTAATGACTAATGATATGAGTTAGTCTCTTTATTTCTTAATTTAACAATTAAACTATTACTAAATTAGTTTAAAAAAAAAATTTATATTGTGTTAAGTTCAATTAATTGAATTAATTGTTCATACCCTAGTTTGAGAGACGTTTATGGTCCTTCTCTTTTGTGTACACTGTCGTTCAGGTTTATTTTTTTCCTTCACAGGACAGCATACAACAGAATAACAAGCTAGCAAACCGCTGAGCCTGAAGACATCGTCACCCAGAGCAAGATGTGAGCTGAGGACCATTGGGTTGAGTCAAACATGGTTAAATCCCATGAGGATTGTCCTGCAGAAACTACAAAGGATGTTTCTATCAGAAAAAAAAGCCTCTACAGAGTCTAGATCAGCAGTAGTAAGCAGGTTATAACACAGAGTTACTCTAGTGCTCTTTAAAGCTCTTCTTATCAGCGAATGGTTTCATAAAACAACTCTGATCATCACCAGGGATAAGAAAAATAATAAAAATCCAGATTTGACAATTCCCAAGTGAAATCTGAATACAAAGCAAAGGGCCAGGCTTAAAGTTGGATAAGATTATGTCTGTTCGTTGCTAAATTGCAGAGGAGCAGAATTCATCCTGCAAAGACCGGCAGGTAGCGGCGGCTTATTCTCCACATGAAATCATCTCCCCGCACAGATTGTCTTCAAGTGATTAAGAAGGTGTAATTAAAGTCTGATTACTCCCATGAGTGCCTTGGGTCAAAAGCTTAACAGCTGCTAGGGGAGAACATTGCATTGACCTTCCTGGACTGGGGATTGTGTTGAGGAGCAGCTTGAGAGTCCTCATTTCCTGAAACAGCACAACCTACTTTACACAAGTCCCTCCGGAAAGGGACCGCCAATCAGTGCAGTCAATGTCCACGCATTATTAGCACAAACTTTCACAGGCTTTTTTCCTGGAGAAAGTTCCCTAAATACACTCTGTGCAATTGTTTGACCAAGTTAGTGTGAGCAGAATTACTCTGCAGACTAATTCAATACGTGCACAATGTCATTCCTCTCTGCTTTTGCATTAATGTTCTTCATTACCAAAACCCTCAATGCTGAAGGAAAAAGCCATGATGCCAGACAATTTTTCCATTTGCTCGATAGAGAACATCATGTGATTAGTAAGATTTCTGCAGATGGTCAGCTTTTTTTTTTTTTTTTTTTGATTTGTTTTCATGACAATTTGTAAAAAGAGGAGCATCTAAAAAAAAAACCTTTTGTAAGCATCTAATATTGAAATAGGTCCTTAAATGCAAAGCTCTTTAGTCTCCCAAAACATTATCATGTTTTAGTATCGAGACATTTATTTTGCTTTAGACTGACTCTCTTTTCCCACCTAAAGGCAAAGAGGAAAAGATTTATAGATGCTGGAGATTCTGTTTTGTTCAATTATGATACGATGAAAAGCGGTGAAGCTAATTTAAAAGAAAACTGCAGCCTCAGTCACACCGAGCCTGGAAAGCAATATCACTTTATCAGTGATGCATACATTTCTGATAACTTCTCTGGATTTTGTTGGTGACCACAGATTTTAGTACAGATTTAAAAGGTGTGGTTTGCATTGCTGTTCACCCTCCGTACAGCAACTCTGTAACATTTAGCTTCTAGGGGCGATAGATCTGGAACTTCCAGGATTAGCTCACCTGAAAGCAACACTGAACTGTAGCTAAATTTAAAATCCTCCCTCTGTGTTTTAATAATAATAAAAATAATAATAATAATGTTAATTGAACTTTATTGATCTCACATTGGAGAAATGTACCTTTGCATTTAACCCATCCCCTTGGAGAGCAGAGGGCTGCCATCATGGGGCGCCCAGGGAGCATTGTGGAGGTTAAGGGTCTGGCTCAGGGACCCAGAGTGGCAGTCTGTGGGAGTGGACCTCGATCTCAGAACCTCGGGATTCCAAGCTCTATGTCTTAACCACTAGGCCGCCATTCCCCGTGGCGGCAGATAACAAATATCCAATAACAAATTTGGACCTATGGAGT